TGACGACAAAGAGTGAAGAATCGTCTCAAGGCTGCTGAGGAGCTGTGAGTGCTGAGATCGAGGATCTTGGGGCACCACGTGTGAGCAGTCAGAATGTAGTTGGACTTGAGAGTAGACAGAGACCGCACGCGCGCACCATGCGCTAAAAATGTTACACGTCTTCAATTTTACTTGAACTAGTTTAGATGCACCTGCAATACACGTTATTGAATATCATGATTATTTTAATTAATAAAAATAGAGTAAAATTAAAAAAAATAAAGTTTTTTATAAGATTGATCGATCATCAACTCAATAATCTTTTTCTCAAATAAAATATTATTATTGTTTCATTCAATCCAGACTATGGCCACGTGATCTACTATTTGTGAGTTATAAACACATTAATGTAGTACAACATCTCTATTTATTAGTATCTTAAAGTCTTAAAAAGATGGGTGACCACTTAATTCGCAAAAGAATTTTGCATATGAATTTACTTGTAATATGTCCATTAAACTTTTGGTTGTGGTTTGACCCATATTCACGTTAATTTTTAGTTGATGTTTCACTCATATTTATATTATTTATTATTCTCATTCAATTTTATAGTTCATTCTCTGTATCAAAGAAGTAAAACTGAAAGTATGATGAATTATTTTCTTAAAAAATTAGAACAGGAAGATTATGATATATTTCGTCATGTGCTCAAAATATAAAAAAAAATCTTTGATGCAAGGTCCTTATTAAATCTTACCCTAAACGATGTGAATAAAAAATGTTATTATAACTCACTTGCCTATGACAATTGTATTGTATATAGGATACATAACTCATCTGGAATATCCATATCTCTTAAGTGGATTTTGCTATTGTGAGAACAATATATTAGTGGCTCGTATTCAAACTTTTTTGCTCTATAAAAGATACAAGAATTTGGAGTGCATAGCTTATATATCGTAAAGAACATATCGATTCATGAATTTTTTTTCTAATAATGATATTATTACAATGATATTACTATTCAATATTAAATTAATTTTATTATATAAGATTATATGATTATTTTTAATAAATTATAAAGTATACATATAAAAACCTCGATGCTTATAGCCAGTAGTTAGGCTCCACAAAATATGTTAATTTTACATTGTAGTTTGCTATTTGTAGTACTATTAGCATTGTTGTTACCTTTTCTCTTTATCTTAATATTCACACTTTTCTGATGTAAGTTCTCTTTTGCTAATCATTCAATTGGCTATATTTAGTTTTTGTAATAATTAGATGTTAGAATATTCTCTTCTATTTAAAAAGTGTTGACATAATTTTCTTAAAAAATATATACACATAATAGCAATAGTATATACTCCAGTGCAACTCAAACATTGCCTTAAAGCCTATTTAGAGTGAGGTCCATTCTATGCTAGAATGATGATATAGTGATTACACAGTCTAAAAGTCAAGAAAAAAAATTCTACAAAGAAAAAGTAATTTAATACGTCAAATTAAGAACTAATTTATAAAATATATTGGTAGTGCATGCAGATAGCTATATAAAGTAAGGTATTTGACTTCATAAAAATTCTGTAGTGAGTCACTAACTACAATAATCATAATTTAAGCATTAATAACTATTATTTTATTTACTAAATTGATACATGTAACTATAGATTAAATCTCTAACAAAAAATAGAAATTTTATTTACTAAATTGATACATGTAACTATAGATTAAATCTCTAACAAATAATAGAAATTGAGATTGTATTATGCTATTGGTAAATAAATAAATGTTATTAGAGCTCCTCTTTATATTAAATTTAAAAGTAATAATTTAAATTATTAAGCATCAAATATTAACTCATGTGAGAAAGTAAAGTAGTCTATAGTCTATATATGTATATAGTCAATCAATCAAACGTATCAAAATTATGATGACCACAGTCAAAAATTATATGGTGGGTTCATATTAAGTCAAAATATTTTTAATCACTATATAGATTGTCTAAAAAAAATTTACATATATAAACTATACTATCTAGGAATAGTGATGCGCATACTAAACTATGATCTAATAATCTTAAGAACAACTTATACTTAAATATTATCATTAATTAATATATATGTGCATTACACTGAAAAGATAATGAAAATTTAAAAAACTACAAAATAAACACTCTCAAAAGTTTTAAAAAGTGTAAAAAACACCCTAAAATTTTTAATTTACAAATACATAAAACTATTAAACATTACATTGAAAATAAGGAATTACAAAAAAAACCATTGAAAAACTTCAAACTTTGGAGGGATAATTTGCAATGTACTATACTTTAATGGTGTTTTTTGTAAATTTTAAATTTAATAGATTCTCAATTAGTTATGCTCTTTTGAAAAAAGTTATGGGTAATAGTTACCATGAAACATTTTTCCTAAACTTATACTTTTAAAAGGTGTATGATATTTTTTTATAAAATTTTAATTTTCTAGGGGTTGTTAGTAATTTTGCATATTCATTTTAGTGTCTATAGGTTAGAAAGTCTCATGGTGTTTTTTTGTAAATTATAAATTTTAAGGACTTTTTATAATTTTTTAAACTTATAGGTCTTTTCTATAGATTATAAATTGTTTATAGACTATTTATAATTCCCATGCTTTCAATTTACTAATGATTTAGGGTGTTTTTTATAAATTTTGAATTTTAAATATTTGTTTGTAATTTTTAAAACTTTATAGACTATTTATAATTCCTAAACTTTAAATATTTTAGGGTGCTTTCAGAAATTATCATGATTTTTATAAATTTTATAATTTTGAGGGTTTTATTTTATAATTCGTAAAAAGTTCAGAGTATGTATTGCAAATTCCATAAATTTTTAGGGGTTGTTTGTGTTATTTGTAGGTTTTTAGTATGTTTATAGGTTTGAAATTTTTAAGGTGTTTTTTATAAATTTTGAATATTTAATGGTGTTTTTGTAATTTTTAAAACTTATAAGATATTTTTTGCAAAGTCGAAAAACTTTTAGTTTCTAGTTAGTATATGTTTTTCAGATTTCTCACTAAATTGAGATAAGTAAAATTTATAATTTTTAAGATGTTTTAATAAAATTTTAAATTTATAGGGGCGTTTTTGCAATTTAAAAACTTAGAGAATATTTTTTATAAAGTTTAAAAACTTGTAAGTGCTGGCTGACATATGTTTTTAGATTTCTCTACAATCTGAAATTAGTAAAGAATTTAAATTATTTTAAATCCATTCTATTTTATCCAATAACATGTTAAGTCTCATTATGAATAGAATAAATATTTAAATTATTTTAAATCCATTCTATTTTATCCAATAACATGTTAAGTCTCATTATGAATAGAATAAATCATTTGGTTACCAATTCAAAGATTATCCAATAACATGTTAAGTCTCATTATGAATAGAATAAATCATTTGGTTACCAATTCAAAGAAGATAGGTTAATTAGAATAGAATAAAATAACAATGTAATATTCAGAAAAGGCTAAGGATAATACTGACCTTAGAAAGATTTTTTCGAACTCTTAATTTTAAAAGGAGTATGATATATGGACGTAATATCAGATTTCGGCTTTCTTGGCTGTGGCCGTTAAAAAAAGAAATTTTAAATTTCAGGATAAAATCTCGCGAGTATTACTTTTGGGCTTTATTTTTCGGGCCAAACTTGTGGGCGTAAATCTATCTTATAAAGACCCAGTTTCGTCCATACACGCTGAACCAAACCTTGGACTATGTGGTTTTTGTTAGGGCCAGTGTGGCAACTCACCCGCTAACTTGTACAATATTAGACTGGTTTTTTTTTTCAGTTCAAAAAGAGGCTCTAAACTTGGTTATTTTTGAACCGCCTCCACCTTAGTTCAATCCTAATCCATTTAAGGCATTAATTGGATTAGTGTGACGTTGCTCTACATACGTTAGTTTCCCAACTAACTCCTTTTATAAAATCTTTCATATCCAACAGACCGACACGTTGCCAAGAAAATTCCCCGGGCATCTGAGACTAGTAGAGGCAGATTATTCAACAATTCCAGTTAATTATAATAAGGGGCTGTTTGGTTCGTTTCTTTGATATAGGAAAATGCAATTCCATGTAAAGAAATATAAGTTTTGAGTTTTTCAAACTTTTCCAAGAAATAGATTATTTTGCTTTGGTTCGCAAATAAAAAATGATGAGAAACCAATGTATTTATTTTTCTTGTGTTTGGTTCGCATAGAAAAAAAAGAAAAACTTTTGTAAACAAAATAAAGAAGGAAAAAAATCTGACGTGGCAGAGTTTTCATCAATTTCACTCGGTTGGGGAAGGAAATCGGAGAGGGAAAAAAATCTGAGTTGGCGGCGATTTCAGCAGAGTTTCCCTCTTCCATCCGAGCGAACCAAAGCGGCACAAAGAAATGGACGGAAACAAAAAAAACTGACGTGGAGGGCTAAAAATCTAACGTGGATGGGTTTTCTGAGTTTTCCACCCCTTATAATAGCGAACCAAACCGCCCCTAACGATCTACCTTTTGAATTACTGCACCAGTCTCTAATTTCCCGAACACAAGAACAGATATCACTTTATTTTTAGTTATTTATTTATTGCGAATCGAATTGACATATATTTCCGGCATCATCAACAATGACAGATAAGAATAACGTGGGCTACAAACAGGCCCTAACTAAGTGACGGCCATATTGGCTGACTTGATTGGGCTAGTGCTTGGGCCTATAAGAGGGCCCTGGCAGGATTCGAGATCCATGAAAAGTTTACGAGGCGGCCTTTAATTAATAGTGGGTTTTTATAGACCCTCTTAAAAATACAGCACCTGGGCCTTCGTGAGAGATTAACGAAACTGTGGACAACGCACTCTTGCAATGGATTGGCGATTTCACGAAATACTTTTGTCGAGGCCCACAATAAGTCTATTTTAAAGCCTCTAACTAAGATTCGGCCCAAACAAACTTATCTCCTGCCTTATCTAAATCCCCGGAGCTCCGAGCAAAAGATGAGATGGATAAAGAGCCCTTTTCGTTCACTTCATCCCTTGGTTCCCGCAAACGCTCTCGAGTCTGAGCTCCAGACAAAAATAAAAATAAAAATAAAAAATAAAAAATAAAAAATAAAAATAAAAATGGCGTCTTTGGCTGCTCACCAGCTCTCCGGCCTCCGCTGCCCTCCCCTCTCAAGACCCGCGTCGTTGCCGAGGAGGACCTCCGTCATCACTGCCGCCGCATCAGTGGGCCCCGCGGCCGTCGCCATCACCCCTGCTCAGAAGGAGCGTCAGAGGCTGAGGGATATCTTCGAGGACGCCTACGATCGATGCCGCACTGCCCCCATGGAGGGCGTTGGCTTCACCGTCGAGGATTTCCACGCGGCGCTCGAGAAGTACGATTTCAACTCCGAAATCGGCACAAAGGTCCCACCTTTTTCCCCCTTCAATTCTTTTTCCCCTCTGTTTGACGGCTCCCATGATGAGGAAACTCGAGAATTGGAGGGGGTTTTTTTGGGAAGTGGGCTTTGTTGTCTGGTGAATTTTAGAGGATTCTGTGTGAATGTTCCACAGGGGCAACTTAAATTTTCCTTCTCCGCTGTCATTAGCTTGCAGTTTTGCTAAAATTGCAGCTTTTTCTCAGTTTGATCGTTGGCCGTGACGAGGAAATATGATAGCTGTAGCGTTTTTGGAAATGGGTGTTCATGCATTTAGCTTCTAGTGTTGTGGGGTTGTGTCAAATTATGAGCTTTATGGTAGTTCTTTAGGATAGGCTTTGTTCTTTTTTTTCTTTCGAGTGAATTTAAAGGATTTGATGCATTCAGTTTGTTTGAAGGCTTCGCAGGCGTAGTTTCATCAAAATGGTGCTCACCAATACTCTCAGTTTACATTGAGTTCGGCTTCTAATATGATAATATAAATGTAGGAACATTGTGGGGACTTAAAATTTGGTTGTTAAGTTATAATTACATTTGAATGCCTTAAGATTATAGGTTAAGTGTTCTTTTTTTAACAAAAAAGCCATTCTAAATAAGCTTGTTAACTATAAGTTTAAATTTAAACATCTAAAATTCAAGTATGGGTTTTGAAATGTACTTTCTGTATATGAGTTTTCATCTGTTGTATCAATTATGCTAGCAATGTGCTCTAAATTGGTACCTTGTATCCCTTTATAGCTTACTAATTGATGAATCACCTGTTTTCAGGTTAAAGGAAAAGTTTTTATGACTGATCAAAATGGAGCACTTGTCGACATCACAGCTAAATCTTCAGCTTACTTACCTGTTCAAGAAGCATGCATTCACAAAATTAAGCATGTAGAAGAGGCAGGCATATACCCAGGTTTAGTTGAAGAGTTTGTCATAATCCGTGAGAACGAGGCAGATGATAGTTTGGTTTTGAGCCTAAGGTCAATCCAATACGATCTTGCTTGGGAAAGGTGCAGACAACTTCAGAGTGAAGATGTTGTTGTCAAGGGTAAGGTGGGTTTCTTGGATCACGAGTTCCTTCTCATTTCATGTAGACTTCTGCAGTTGACTTTCTCCATTTTATTTGTGAACAACCAAAATTGCGCACGCGTATACACACTCTATAACTTCCAACTTGGCATTATTTGGTTCACCATCTTGCTACATTGTGACATGAACAAAAGATAATCATGCTGGAAACATAATAATGAATCAGTTGATTATTAACTATTAGGATGGAGACTGGAAGCTTATCAGATTATCTTGAAAACTCAACTGAAGAATCATATATACAAGGCTACAAGTCCCACAGTGTTTCACATTGACAACTATGACTATCAGGATTTTATTCCAGAATGAACAATCTCATTGTTGACAGGAAAATTTTATCTAAAAAGAAAGCTTTTAGTTTCACGCAACCATGTGTATCAAGGGATATGTCATGTTCCCATAGGCACTATTTATTATTGGCCTTGCTATCTACATAGGAAACCAGCCTTTTGCATTCCTGTTCAGCTTCTGAAAGGTTTTGACTTTCATATATTATCAAGATTGGGTAAAGCAGTGTGGATATCTATGGATATATGTTTCATTTTCTATTGAGCATGCTCTAAACTTCATGTGAAGTGTACCTTCTACATGGCAAATAGATTGACTCAGTGAGAATAGTAAAATTTACAGATTTTTCTTCAACGCTCTGTTTGTAAAATCCTTAACTTTAATGTATTATTAACAATATAATGGGGATTGCATACTTATTAAGGGCCTATTTTGCTACTAGGCATAGCATATTGTAACTTGCGGACACGATTCTTTTTAATAATAGGGCTTGTGTATTTTTGAGTGATGAGGCCTGAATCTCACATAAGAAAGTCTGAAGTAGAAAAACAGGTTTAGCACTCATTTTGTTCTGTAGTTCAGATCTTGCAAAATGCTGATATTTTGTGAGTATGGAGTTCATCCTTCCTATATTGTGCAACTGACTGAACTTTTTGACTGGTTAGCAGTAGTGGATCCCGAAAAACTTTCTTAGAGGGTGGACGGCAAGTATTTATTTACCCAAAACTTAAATGTAACATTACAAAACTATAGTCCTGGTGGTCTGATGGGAATGCAACTTAGTTCTCTTTATCAGCTTTAATGCATCATATTTTCAAAATAACATTCTTGACAAATGGGCTAAATTCTCATACTTAAATGAGCTAAAATTCAAATGGGCTACATGTTTGTTAAGTGATTATATGAGTAAGAGTTGCGGTGCAAAATTGCAAATATTTTTAAACTATGGAGGGCATGTTGTAAATGTAGAAGGGATAAAACATAATAGTACCTTTTCCTGCTCATATAGTTAATCTTCGATCTCAAGCGAGCAATAATGTGATAAATGTTACTCATTATGTGTTGGTTATATTTCTATAATGAACTATTGAATGTTTCATTTTCTCCCTTAATTTTTTTTTCTCTCCTTCATTTCTTCTAATTTAGTTTCTCATCTTTATGAACACAGGTTATTGGGGGAAACAAAGGAGGAGTTGTAGCTGTTGTAGAGGGTCTACGTGGTTTTGTTCCATTTTCTCAGAT